AAAAAAAAAAAAAAAAAAAAAAAAAAAAATATCACCACTCACATTTCATATACATTTACGTATACGCTTACGTGTACGCGTATGACTTGACAAGAATGGCAATTTTGTGAACAAAAAATAATTTGTGATAAATGGGAGTAACACAAATGGGTTTGCCAAGACATGTAGATTGAAAGAATATATTTTTTATTTTTTTTTACGCACGGGAGCCTTTATATGCGTACAAGTAGGTGAGGAAAAGGTTCTCACACAGTTATGCATACTGGGCTCTTGGACGCGGCGAAACGGATAAGGGACTGAACAAATGCAGCAAATCGCGTCAGTTATGTGACACGCCTGCAAATTTCCGCTCAGCAATCCGATGTACACCCCTCCGGTCAAGGTCAAATTCCAAGTACTCCTCAAACGGCTGCGCTGTGCATACACAAACGCAATTCCATGCACCTAAATGAGACTTACACAAAAAAGCGGCAAATAACAAAAACACGGGGGGGAGAAAACTCCAAGAGGCCTCAATGGGCGTGTCCAGGTTATACGTACAGGTGTATGTGCGACAGGACGTACGTCAGTGAGGTGGTGAGGAAATGACGACATAAGAATTGGCACATATATATACCTACACACATGAATGCATAGGTACGTAAGCGTGAATGCAGCGATGAACACACAGTCACGGAGAGCGCTCGCTGCATTGCATTTACACACTGGCTTCTTATGGCCGCATAAACAAGTTGGATAACACAGCAAAAAAAAAAAAAATGCAATTGAAAAAAAATCGTTCACAGAGCGGTGCCGTATACAGGGACACTGTCTCAACAGCGTTAAAACAACCGGCTAAGTAAGCGCGGCTTTACAACGACGCAGCGAAAAGGCACGGATACTGGTGCTGCCAGATTGGAAAGGTTCATATGCCGACCCACTACTGCATGCTGCATGCCTACGTGGTCCAAACCTGTCGCTGCGCCAACAGAGAGGGTTGAAAAGGCCAAATGGTAGGAAGCCGATCAACCGTCTCTTGTGTTCCGTACGATGTCGTAAAGGAAAAAAAAAAAAATGCTATACTTGCATAGTTGAAAGAAAGATGGCGAAACATAAAAATTGCGTTAATTTACGTTTATTTTTTTTTTTTGCTAGCAGGAATAAACATAAATCTACGCATGGCGTAAATGTATACCTGTTCAAATTATACACGAGAAAGGTATGTAAAAAAAGCAGCAGCTACAACTACTATACATGTACAGGCTGTTCATATATTTTTTTTCTTTTCCATATGTATATATATGTTAACTCTTTGAGGTGCGAATAAATACAAATGACGAGTTGGTGAAGGTCCTGCTGAATGAAAACGCCGTTTTCGCAAAATGACCCACTCTGCGCATTCGTAAAAATGTTCTAAACGATTTCTCTTAATTTTTACTCGGGTCAATGACGACACGTTCGCAAAGAACAGAAAAAAAAAAAAAAAAAAAAAAAAAAAAAATTGCTGCTGAGGGGACTGGGGACTACGGCGCCAAGCACTCTCTTCAATGCCTACGTAAAATTCCAACGTTGATATTGCAAAAAAAAAAAAAACAAATAAATAAATATATGCAACGAATAAATCTACATATTTTTTTTCATGAAGGATTAAAGTGACATAGAAGAATACGAGGGGGGAGCGTACTGGACGGGAGTGCAAGGGCTTTTATTTTATTACAAATGATTAAGGCGCCTCCCTTTGGGAGAAAGAATGTACCAACTAAGAGTTCTTTTCCAAAAGGGTCATTTGCCAATATAAAAAGGAAAAAGTAATTTCGCCACCAAAAACAATAAATAAATTTTAAAAGTCTCCCCAGAAATTTTTCATACAAAATGGCCAAACGTTGGGATATGTGATTTTGTAGAGAAGGATTTATGGCCACTCATGGAATACCTTCTTTGAGCAAACATTTCCCATTTTCCATTTTTTTTGTTAAATTTACGTGGCAAACTGTAGGGTAGACTGGAGGTGTTATATGCGGAGGTGGATGTTGCCTTCCTGCGTAACGGCGCTGCGACAGCATTCTGTGAAACGTGACCGTAGGAGGTGTTCAGTTGCTACTTAGTTGCTGTCCACTCGATTCTCACTCTGCGCACTCCCACTACTACGACACTACCCAGTCGCTGTCCACAATGGACGAAGAAGAGCGCGAGGACGCAAGTGCAGTTGAAGCAACCCTCAAAAAAGCAAAAAAAAAGAAGAAAGTAAAAAATAAGAAATCTGAGAAGAAGCCAAGTGATATTGTGAGCTGCATAGCTTTTTTGCCCAGGAACAAGAAGAAGCTCGGTGGGCGCCAATTTGAGCAACTCAGGTAACGACACTAAAACAACAGCTCCATCATGGCGAATAATATACATGCATGTGTGTAGCTACTTCCCTATTCGTGCGCGATTTGGCATTCCCCTCGTGTACACTTTTCGTAACCGCAATAAAATGTCATGTTGCGGGAGGTCCATTTTTGCCATTCTTATCTTTTCCCCCTTCTCCGCCCATGCAGCGAAAACGACCAACCTAGCGACAGCGACCACTGTGAAAAACGCAAACGAAAAAAAAAAAAAAAAAAAAAAAAAAGGAGAAGAATCAGACTCGTATGATGCACTCCAAAATGTTTTTAACGACGAGAAGGAAAACGAAAAAGTTATAAGCGAAGACAATATCATAGAAGAAGATAAAAAATATATTTTTGAAGATGAGCTAAGTGTAGAAAAAGGAGATGCATTAATCCTGAATGGAAAAATATACACTGACGTTGGTACTTTGGAAGTGCATATTGTTAATTATGACGAAGACATTTTTAACATTTATGATGACGTCATTATTGATGACTACCCCTTATGCTTGGAAGTGATAGGAGATTCCTATTACAGAAACAGAAACATCGTGGCCGTGGGTACCATGAAGAAGGAAATTGGACTGTGGGATATTAACAATATTGAGACGTTGGAGGCGCTCAGCTATTTGGGCGGCACGGAGAAGAGGTCCGCGAAAGGGGGAAGCCGCAAAAAGAAAAAGCGGCGCAAGGAAGGGGGAGAGGCTGATGTAGGAGAAGAAATAGCCCCTGCGGAGGAGGCCACACAGGGAGAATGCGAAACACGGATGGCAGGGGAAAAAAGAAAGCAAGGCAAAAACAAACTACAAGGACATACCGAATGCGTCACGTGCCTCAATGCGTCAAAGCTAATTCCCACACTCATGTGCAGCGGGTCTAAGGACTGTTCTATTAAATTGTGGGACCTGTCCAATCTGACCTACTTACATACCTTCAATTTTCACAAAGAAGAAATAAATAATGTTTCCTTCCACGAGAAGGAAAGTAGCATCCTCCTCTCAACCTCATCAGACAAAACCCTAAAAATATATGACATAAGAAAACACACAGTTGGGTTAGACATACAACTGGACAGTACCCCCGAATCGACCACTTGGAATAAATTCAACGAGAAGGAAATTTTTTTATCGGATGTTGATGGGTATGTGAACAAGATTGACATACGTTATGTTGCAGATCCGTCTTCCAGCTTTTCTCACAACAACACAGTTAGGTTTAAGGCCTTTTCAAATTCATGCATTTCTCTCGTCAGCACGCATTACCCAAATTTGACCCTTGCAGGGTCTGAAGACGGTCTCGTGAAAGCCTACGACTTTGGCGCTTTCGGAGAGGAGGGGCCTCCGTGCGTGTACACGAAGAACCTTAAAAAGGTGAGACTGCCGAGCGAAGGGGGGGCAAACATTGCGCACACGTGCAGTAAACTGAGCGGTACTCCTCTCCCTGTTACATGCAGCAGTGTCATATCCTACGCGCGGCGCCCCATTCATTTGCATTCGCCCTGCGCCTTTTTTTTTTCTCTCTCTTCCGCTTTTTCCCCACGCAGAACCTGTACTGCATGAAGGACAACGAAGACTGGCCCAATGTGATATTTTTCGGCTGCGACAAGCTCTACGACTGGGACTTGATGTCGTGCACGGAGTTACGTGAACATTTCAAGCTGTGATGTGACGCCCCAGATGGTTAGTAGTCGTCTCATGGGTACCGTACTGCGTGTCTGTTTTGTGCTGCTCCTCCCACCCTTCCTTATTTTGTCAATTGTCCCGTATTAAAACATAGCCCGAGGGACACCACATTTATATAAACAGGGAAAAAAAAATGTTTTCCATTTGTGCATTTTTATGAATATATTTTTTGTACCCGCTGTAGTTTTTAAAAATTGGCAAAGTGTTTGATTTTTTTTTTTTTCATTTTTCCTTCCGGGGTTATTTTTTTACCTGCCCTGCTGGGCCCCCAAACATCATGAATACGTGATTTTCATGTCACGTAAGAAGGAACGAACTTGGCATGGTTTAAGCAGACGTATGAAGATACTTATACGCGCGCGCGTTATCTTCGTCTTCATTCTGTACGCTTATATTAAGCGATCTGCTTTCCAACCCCACGTGTCTTAATCAAACGGGGGGTACGCAAACGAGAAATCGGCACTACGGAGTGATGTATAAAAGCGTGGGGCAGAAAAAAAGAACAAACGTATTTGCAAGAGAATTTTTCATTTATATATTATAAAGCTATGCGCCTAATTTTGTCACCCAATCTTTTCAGTAATCGTACTGGGTAAAAAGTAAAAATAATAAATAATAAAAAATAAAATGAAAATAAAAAAAATAAAAATATCACCTTTGCTTAGCTACTGCTGAAGGGAGACAAAAAGATAAAAGCTTCAAGCTTCAACAGAACATGAGAAATACTTGAACACAAAAACAAGCGCTAAACGTTCTGAGGATGGGACAACTTCACAGAATGTGTACATACCGAATAAGCAATGCGCACGTGTACGTGTTCCGCTACCCCATAGTGGGCTATGCCTTTTATTGTTGCTTGAAATTGAAGTGAGATATATGCCTCATTTGGGCAGCAATTTTTTTTGCTTCTTTTTGCACCCTCGCGGTGGCATTAACAAATATATCCTTTTTAAAAAATACTGCAATGGAAGCGCCTTTCCTGGTGCCCTTTTTATGAATT